AAAGGAAAAAGGAAATCAACCAAACTGCTTGAGCGTAATGAAGAAACTGGTCATCAAAGGCAACCCCAACAAACACTCAATCCAGCTTATATACGGAAAAAAGTGGGAGTGGGTTTTCTAAATATTGCAACAGATGTGATTTAAACAAAGATCTAAGACATGAGTGATGATTGCATGGATAGATAATTTTTTATACTTTGGTCTTTCGCGAAATTGGAATTCGCGACAGATTCATCACTGAATGATTGCGCCTTTTCATCTCCCGTAATACTGATCGAATGATTCGAAATGATGTTTACAGTAGCTGGTGAATGATTTCTTTCCAACGGCATCATGCTCTTCAAATATATTACCAAATTTGGTATCACTAATGGCCCAGATGATACTGTAACATGTGTAACAGCTATTAGCTCATGTTATAGTAACAAAAATCTGCGAAGCAAACATGTTAACAAAGTTGTTTATTGACATTACAGGAAAGTTTAAACTTGATTATAAGTAGTAGTACTATTGTTATCAATTAAGCAAACGTAAATGCAAATTTGACCGAACATGTATTTGGATAACTGTGGGAAAATGATGATTCAGGTCAAAGTAGCTTATTATAAAAGTAATGTAAATGATTTCTGGTATGCTTTGCAACGTATGTTGAAAAGATAGCATCGATATCAGTAAACATATTAAACCAATGACTAAGTAGGTTTACTGATATAATTCTAGAAAAAATTCTAGAAAAATTCTTCTTGTTGCATTAACCTCAATTTTTTTCAATTCTAAAAATTTAATTTTTTCCCCAAATTTAACCTTCTTTAAATAATTAAGAAGAAAATGCAACATGCCTGAAAGCAGTTACAAACTATTGTCATCTCTTAATCACATAACGTGACTGTCCTCATGCCATTACGAATTATTTTAAAATCAAGAGGGATATCATTTTCTATTACTTTTTTGAAGCTTAACAATTTGTTTAGAGGAATTTCACGCATTGTTCTAGCCTCAATTTCATCGATTTCATGCCTGAACCAGTTAATAGCCGAATCGAGGTTTGAAGCTTGATTTGAATCAGTGGGCAAATCGATCACGAAATTCTGAAACAGCATTAAATTCTGGATCTGAATTTTGCTTTAAAATATTACCTTTTTAAAATATTAAAAAAAAACTTTGCTTTAAAATATTATTTCAATAATAGATTGTGATTCTTCGCATATATTTCATATAAAAGTTGAACTTCCATCGGATTACAGACTATCAATACTAAAGACATTCTATTCAGAACTAAGTCCTAATTAATTTAACTTTGGTATAATTCAAAAAAAGTAGTCGTATATGGTTTTGAAACATTCTCACGTAAATTAAGCTATTTAGTAATTTGGACAGTAATTTGCTAACTATATCTTCTTATCTTGCCCGGATATTCCAGAAAAAAAAAAAGAGATACACACACTTTTCCAAATCTCAAAATATCATGAGACCTCTATTGACATTGTGATTTCCGGGAAGTAGAATTCAATTTCCCGAAAGTACAATTCATTTTTCCGGAAAGTAGAATTCAGTGAGTGAGCCTCAGTTTAATTTTTTATTGCTATCACATTAAATTATGCCAAAAACTTGACATCAACAGTTTTTCACGATATAATAAAAAACTTAACAATTCTATATCATAGATACTAACCTCTTTTTGTTTAACTTTAACTGTCTTCGTTCCTGTCATTGCGTCATCCTTCAATATTCCCGCCTTTATTCGATTTTGAGAAATAGATCTTTGAGTACTCTCAGTGTCAGATTGTTTCTTGTTTTTATTGCTTGATTCCTTTTCTTTGTTTATTTCTCACTTTTCCTCAAATTTTGATTGTCTCTCGTAAAATTAAGATAATGAGAAGAATATAGCTAACAATTTGAGGATATCATAAAAAGATTTTGGTACTTTCGTAAGACTATAGCATAGAGATCATGCCAAGAGTCAGCTAACTACTTCGATGACCCCTGTAACCTTATAAGCGCTCTTCTAATCCTAGAAACATTATATATATATATATATATATATATAGAGAGAGAGAGAGAGAGA